GATTTATGCCTGGCCAAGAATGGCCCGCACTGCTGGTCTAGTGGCGGGTATGTCGGACTCAAGAGAGGACCAACAGGAGCAGCAGTTGGAGGTAGATCGCGGGGGATTTCCAGCCCAAAGAAGGAGTTGACAAATATGAGATAGTCTGGTTTGCTGGGCTTATGAGGCGGATAGAAGACGCCATTGTCGCTTCGCATCTTCTTGCTCCATTTTCCTGCGCGTATGATAGCTGGGAGATCCGGAAAAAAGAAGATCTCGTTCATGATTCGTAGCCACATGGAAGTATCCTCGGATGTCATGGTCCCTGGAAGCTGGAAGCCTGGCTGGCCTGGGATGTACGGACAGGGCAACTGGAATAAAGGCATATTGGGACAGACGATGGCGATTGGTACCTTATACTCAAAGTGAATATCGTTGGCTGCCTCGACAAAGAAATCCGCAACTATCATGTCCGGTCGAGTCGCGGGGTCATCCATGATCTCTTTGAGACGATGGTAGGTTTGAGGCCAGAAGGAGTCGAACATGTATTTGGATTCCATAGCTTGTCCGATACCCTTGGAGATATCCCATGCCTGCATACGCCGATAGTGACCATCGAGTTGCTCAGGGGTTGGTCCGGGGCCTAACTGATGAAGCTTGTTGACAAAGTCATACTCAGGTTTCACCCAGCTCTCTTGTCCCTCAAGTGTTGCAAATTCAATTTCGTGGCCACGCTCCGCGAGCACCCGGCCAATTTCCAAAACAGGGGCTGTATAGGTTCTTATTTAGTTGTCTATCTGTTCACGTTTCATGTTCCATCTTACCGGCATGTGTGAATCCTCCGGTAGTAACCACCAGTAATATCTTTCGAGATAAATGTATTTGGGACTGGCTCATTGTGAGAAATAGGGGGAAATCAATTAGTTTCACTAAAAACTTGACAGAAAAGAGCGAAGCACTTATACCTCAAACCCCGAAATGGCCCCCAAACTAACATCCTCAGGCCATACTACGGACTTCGGAGAGTTTCAAACAAATCCCGCCGAGTATAGACTTGATAATTGAAGAGTCACTGGAGTTAACAGGCAAGTCCAGAGAGCTGAACGATTTGAACATTGATGCTTTAGAATGATATCCCATTATAGTTAGGGGCTTTGTACATGTCCTAACTAGAATGACAAGTTGCTCACAGAAACCTCCCACTTTTCGAATCCTCAAACTGACATAGAGAGCTCCCCCCCTTTTTTAAGCACGTGGAAATAAGTGCCGGCAGTACTAGGCCCTTACTAGCAAGGCCTGAGATTTGACACTATACATGCATGATGCAAGTATGTAACTTCAAAGGTGGCGAGACAAACATTACAAACCAGTCACCTGATGATGATAGCATGTGACTCTTTCGCCGATATCGGTCATGGTCTTCATCTTTCATATCTCAACTACTTACAACATAGAGGAAGAACAGACCTACGAAAAGAGCAATTGGGTCTAGGAAGAGAAGAAGAGTTTATTTCATACTTACTTCATACATGCACCTTTGGAAGACAACCATTTCATACTATACAACCTTGTATATGTCGATCAACCCCGCCATTCTAACGTTGATCTCTCAAATAGATTATATCATAGACAATTGGAAAGCGAGATGGGTCTGTTATATGCCTCTACTACGTACCTCGTCAGTATCAGCCATATAAGCCATCCAAAGAAATAATTCTTCAACCGAGATCGTGACTCAATGGCGCATACCGAATTGACTCATACCCCGCCATTGCCAGGATTGACATATAAAACATTCAATTGAACGTGTAAATGTAGATTCGGTGAATATATCAGACTGCATGTTGGAATTCCAGTAAATCCTGTTGTTGGAACATATAAATCGCTATATCTTCTCTTACTGTCCTTGCAAGGTTGATCCACTACGGTCCACACCTTTGAGGTTTTTCTCTTCCGCTTCTTTTCTTTCTCTTTTACATCAGTCCACCTCAATTAATCTCACTATGCCTTCCCGACAAGAAGTATCCTACTTTGGAGCTGGTCCAGCTCCCCTCCCGACCTCAGTCGTTGAAGCCGGCGCAAAGGCATTCGTCAACTTCAACGACGTCGGACTCGGACTCGGCGAGATCTCGCACCGCTCCCCCACCGCCAACAAGATCCTCAACGATGCCAAAGCCAACCTCTCCGCTCTCCTCGATATCCCCGATAACTATGAGATCCTGTTCATGCAGGCCGGAGGCAGTGGCGAGTTCAGCGCTGTCGTGCAAAACCTGGTCCCCGTCTGGATTGAGCGCCGCCGCCGCAGGGCCGAAGCCGACGTGAAGAAGGCACAGCCCGGTGCGGAGCAGGCTCAGGTTGACGAATTGGTCTTCCAGAGACTTCAGAAGGAGGTCGATGAGGAGCTCAAGCTGGATTACCTCGTGACTGGATCTTGGTCGCTCAAGGCTTCCCAGGAAGCGAGTAGACTGATCGGCTCGAAATATGTGAATGTTGCTCTTGATGCTCGCAAGGCCAACGGGGGGAAGTTTGGAAAAATCCCCGCTGAGGATACCTGGTCATTGACTCCTACCAAGAAGGAGGGCGGCAAGGGCTCTGCGTTTGTCTACTTCTGCGACAACGAGACCGTCGATGGTGTCGAGTTCCAGCAGTTCCCCAAGTCATTGGAGGCTCAGGGTCAGGATGCTGAAGATGAGCGTCTCGTGGTCGCCGATATGAGCTCCAACTTCATCAGCCGGAAGGTTGATGTCAGCAAATACGCGGTCATTTTCGTACGTTGACTTCAATCTTTCCGCGTTATGAGTGTAGTACACTAACAATATATACAGGGCGGCGCACAAAAAAACATCGGTGTCACCGGTATCACCATTGCCATCGTTCGCAAGGATCTCCTCCCTCCCCAGACCGCGACTCCTTCCCCTGCTCTCCTCCACCGGTTGAACATTGGCGGCCTTCCCGGCCCAATAGTCCTCGACTACGCAATCACCGCAAAGAACAACTCCCTCTACAACACCCTCCCCATCTTCAACCTCTGGATTGCCGGCCAGGTCATGGCCGACCTGATGGCCGAGTTCAGCGCTCAAAAAGTCAGCGGGCAAGAGGAAGTAGCCAACAAGAAGGCAGAGCTTATCTACGGTGCTTTGGACAAGTTCCCGCAAGTGTACCAGGTTGTTCCTGACGCTAGCGTCCGCAGCCGCATGAACATCTGCTTCCGTGTCAGCGGCGGTGATGATGCAAAGGAGAAGGAGTTCATCGCTGGCGCTGAAAAGCGTCTTCTCCAGGGCCTCAAGGGCCACCGTAGTGTAGGCGGTATGCGCGCCAGCAACTACAATGCTGTCCCATTGGAGAACGTGCAGAAGCTAGTAAAGTACCTCGAGGACTTTGCTACAGCACAGTAGATCCGTTTGGATATAATATCGGTGTTTGAGCGAATTCAACCTGGGGCTTTTGGCCAGGAACGTGTGATAGGTAACGAAATAGGACGCCAGAATGTGTCCAGGACAGTTGCGACTGTTTATTCAACATAACTCCCAGTATATCCATGCTATATATATGCTTTAATGACAAAAATGTTTCCGATGTTGGTACAAAAGCCCAAGAGAAAGTGCTCAGAGCTTCCACACAGCCCATTCTTTGAGATCAAGTTCCTTGATGATTCCTTTTAGGGGGCCCTGGAGCTCCTGACCTTGCGCCCACAGCTTAGGCCCAGCCATGTAGCTGATGAACCCCTCAGGACCAGAAACCAAAATCAACTTGCTCCTGCGAGAGTTGCCTTTTGACGCTGGTGCAATAGCACCTCGGATATCTTCCTTTCCAATGAACGTGTTCTCCTCGTCCAGATAATAATCCACAATAACCTGCCCGGGATACTGGGCCTTGAGCGCCTCTAGCTCTCGCACAATAATAGAAGTGTCTTCTGTTCGTACAACATCCACAGGCTTTTCCGAAGTATTATCCCGACTCTTCGAGCCAAACCACCCAGAGAACCAGCCCCGGCGTGACTGCGGCTTCAGCGAGTCACTATGACCACCAGCACAGTCATCCTTTATCCGATTCGCCCACAAGATATGGATCGTCGGTCGATGCTCAGTATGTTTGCGATTCAAAAGAGAATACGCAGCCTGCAGAGCCGGCGCAATCCCCGTCCCACCAGCAATAAAGACAATATCCCCCGTTTCCTTCGAGATCGCGCATTCGATCTTGGGTCCACGAATCTCGACGTCAGCACCAACAGCAATATTATGCAGGTAGCGCGAGACCTCTCCGAAGGGATCCTTTCGAATGAAGAAGCGCAGGCAGCCCTCGTTCTCGTCGTCGACACTTAGCGATGTCGCTGCCGTCGTGGGCAGCGGCGTGTAATCCCGTCCGATTTGTAATTGTGGTTGCTTGAACATCACACTCCAGACTCCCGTCTGCCATGCTTCCTCGTAGACATCGTAGTTGCTGTCGCTGGGTATGCGTGGCCGCAGCGTGAAAAGGCTGCTGGTTGCCGACACGGGCTCGCGGGATACAATGCTGTATTTGGTGAATGTTTCGGGGTTCAAGGTGGCGGATGATGTATTTTGGGATTGGATATAGGCGCCTGCACCTGCTGCTGTTACACCCACGAAGGCGATGCTTAGCCAGCGGCGCGAGTTGGAACGGGGGGACTTTGGTGACGTCGGGGTTGCTGAGGTTGAAGCATAGCGTACAGGCCGAGCTACAGCTCTGAGACCCTGGCTGCCTCTACAGCATAAAGAAGATAGGTTGTTCATGTGGAAGTGCAATTGAAGAAAAAAGAAATCGCGGGGGGTCGAGGCCAAGGGAGAGCCGGGCGATCGACAAGAAAATACACCCCCTTGGCGGTTTCTTCTTCTTCTTTACTTCAACTCACTTTGGAGATTTCTCCTCTACCGACTTGACATTCTCGTTCTCGACATTCTCTTCGGGCAATGGAGACTTCTCTTGGCTACTCCTGACGACATACCTTTCCGCTACCCTCTCCCTCTCCTCGACGATTTATACCACACGGACACAAAGAGAACATGTCGAATACATATCAAGGCAACAGGAATGGTAGCCTCGCTGCGCCTCGAGACTCACTAGAACTCGCCTCCCTCGCATCCTCATCTCCTGGCTCCGTAGGCGGGTCATCACGCTCCTCTTCCCCCGACGGTGTCTCTTCATCCCGCAAGCTCTCCCTTGAGGACGAAGATCCTCTCGCAGAATCGCATCAAGATGCCGAGCTAGGGCGCCGTCACAGAGCTCAGAGCTCATTCTCCATATCCTCAGCTTTTGATTTCGGGCGCAATCTGTTCCCGCTGTCGCAAACACAGGGTGGCTACGCGCCCCTAGGTACTCCGTCCGCGGACAGACTAGGGTTCACAGACGGATCGCTGGAGCGGAATAAAACATTGACATATCTGAATGGGCTATCACTCATCGTTGGGCTGATTATTGGATCTGGTATCTTCTCGTCACCGAGTCAGGTCAATGCCAACGCGGGGTCGCCGGGCGCCTCGCTCATCGTTTGGGCTGTGGCTGGTCTACTGGCCTGGACGGGCGCTGCTAGCTATGCAGAGCTGGGAGGAGCAATTCCGCTGAACGGAGGCTCGCAGATCTATCTGTCCAAGATCTTTGGAGAGCTGACGGGTTTCCTTTTCGCATGGTGCGCCGTGTTAGTATTGAAACCTGGCTCTGCGGCGATTATCTCTCTCATCTTTGGCGAATACGTTGTCCGTGCGTTTGTGGGCGCTGATGTTGGCGACGTAAATCCTTGGATCAACAAGGGTGTTGCATTTGGAGGGCTTGTCGCAGTGACTCTGCTCAATTGCATCTCCACCAAGTTCGCTACCCGCATTGGTGATTTCTTTATGTTCTTCAAGTTCGTTGCTCTGCTAGGTGTCACAGTCATCGGGATTATAGTTGCTGTGACTGGCTTCTCGGCTGGAGGCAACGCAAATGAAGAATGGAAGACGACAGGATGGTTCGAGGGAACCACCACCGAGATATCTGATTTTGCAGTGGCCCTGTATGCAGGTCTTTGGGCATTTGACGGCTGGGACAATGTAAGTTGACACTCAAGTATTTGGAATGCTTCCACTCACATCTTGCAGACCAACTACGTGACGGGCGAATTCAAGAACCCAAACCGCGATCTGCCCCGAGTCATCCACACGGCGATGCCACTGGTCATCATCTCCTATCTGCTCGCCAATGTCTCATATTTCCTTGTTCTTCCTCACTCCACCATTGAGGCAAGCAACACCATCGCCGTCCAATTCGGCGCAAAAGTATTCGGCGCCCCCGGAGCCTTGATTTTAGCTCTCGTCGTCTCAGCCAGCTGCTTCGGAGCTCTAAACGCAACCACCTTCACAAGCGGCCGACTAGTCTACGCAGCCGGCAAGGAAGGGTATCTCCCCTCAATATTCGGCCGGATCGGTCTCCACGCCTCCTCGCAAGGCCCTCCAGCAAGCAGCCGACTACGCCGCCGCTCCTGGGCCAGCAGGGCCCTCTCCCGTTTCTTCGGCGATAACTCCAGACTCGGCTTCACGCCAATATATGCCATGGCTTTTAACAGCGTCCTAACAACTATCTACATCGTCGTCGGCGAGTTCGGCACCCTCGTCACTTTCTACGGTGTAGCCGGATACACCTTCTACTTCCTCACCGTTCTCGGCCTGATCGTCCTCCGTATCCGTGAACCCCTGTTGGAACGTCCCTACCGCACCTGGATCACCACACCCATTATATTTTGCTGCGTGAGCCTTTTTCCTTCTCAGCCGAGCTGTCATCTCCGAGCCCTTGCAAACGCTCATCGTCGTCGCGTTCATCATCACCGGCGTGCCCGTCTACTACTGGCGTATTTATAAGCGAGATGGTCGGATCGATCTTCCCAGCTGGAAATTCTGGAAGCGCCAATAAATTCGGGGAAACTCTCCGCCCGCTCTGATCCTGTTCGCTCTTATGATTGTGATACCCATGCGTATATAGCTAGGGTGTATGGTGCGAAGTGAAAGCTGTCTCTGGTGTTTGTGCGTGTATTCGCGCTTCCAATGGAAGCCCTTTTGGCGACGATGTGATGACCATGGCTTTAGGCGGGTGCATTCTGATTGCTTCATCTTTTTGCTAGTTGCATGATGCCCCACGCCGCGTCTACTTCTACCCTGTTTTATTAGAGATCTAGCGCGCTGCATACTACATGCGGTGCATACTGTATATAATCTTCATAATATTTGCATATTGTAATCTCTCATACACCAAGACTATCCCATATAGAAGCTCGCACGAGAACTGCAGTTGGCTGATCCCCGTCCACCCCAGCATCAGCATCAGCATCAGACTCCGCGAAGAACAGTGGTCCGAAGCAATTAGCTGCTGGGTGGTAGATTCGTGTAGATATGACCGTTCTGTCATTGACAAAAACTTCTAACACGCTTGAGTCGAAGAAAGCGTGCACTCGAAGCGTTTCTTCAACCTCGTCACCTCGCTCATTCAGGCAAGTAAATAGCGTGTGCGGAGCAGTTTCATAGCCGTGGTTTACTTCAGTGTCGTCAATCAAAGGTCGATGGATTTCAAAGGTCTCACTTCGTTGATCCCAGGAAAGGGTCGTGCAATCTTGACCGTCTAGATGAACGAGTATCAGTTCAGTATATGTATGATAGATCCGACGAATCAGAACCAATGTCTTACCATGAGTGTGTAGAATCCTGATACCCACACGTGCACAGGATCTACTAACCGAAAATTCGGCGTCGATTTCCCATTTAGATGTCCCCAACAGCATCGCACTTTGTGAAGGTGATGTGGACAGGGCAACGTCAGCGAGGTGGCTCTCCCGTGCACTCTGTCTGAGCCGCGCAAGTCGGCTATCTGGGTTGATCTTCATGGTATGGATCGTGAAAGTACCAGTACCAGGTGCATCGGGGACTGCTTCAATTGAGGTAATCGAACTCAACTCCGAGATTCGTGCCTTCTTGACATTTCTCATTGTCATCAATCCCACCACACGAGGAAGTGAAAGCAGGCCACTGAATCCTTGACGATGACGCAGAGAATTGGACAGGTCCTCTTCCGTGATCCAGCCATAGACGATACGTTGCGAGGTTTGAGGGTCGTAGAAGGAGTTGGCCGCATAGTAGCAGCCATGATCGAAGATACCAGAGAAAGCATACGAGGCTAGAGCACCGTCTGTGGAGGTAGATTGCTTTTCTCCGTTGGATGTGACAGATATCCAGAACTGGCCTCGGGGTTCTCGTCTCCGACGTGCTTCTTGGGCCGCGTCTTGGTTTGAACTCTCGAATGGCACACAGCCCTCGGCTCCCACTATGATGAAGTCCCGAGACGTGGTATCATTGGTCAAGGTCATCAGATTAGCAACTTCCCAGTTCAGGCCATAGTCGCCTGACCAGCGAGATGGGTGTAGATTGAGGCCGACGTCGATCAATGGGCCAATGAACTCCCACTTGCTGAGATCTGTTGCTTGGACAGTGTAGACAAATACTGTTGGAGTTTTCTTGGAAATTCCTCCTGACACAAAGCCATATAGTGTTGACCGTGTGTGTTTGGAAAGAGGTCCTTCGGCCCAAGTTGTGATAAAAGGATCTCTCCAGCCCGTCACATTAAGATGTGAAGGCGGGCCAGTGAGGAACGGGTTGCAGTCCTGGCGCTCCCAGGTCTTGCCTCCGTCTTGCGAGACAGCTAAACTGAGAGACTCACTACCGAGTGTATATGGGAGCGTATAACGGATTGGGAGATGGCTCACGGAGGTGTATATGGCTGTGAGAGCTCCCGGCTGTCCGAAGGCATCGGTTGCCTGTAGACATCCCGTAAAGACACCGAGGCGGTCATATTCAGTAGCGGGCGTCAAGATGGGATCGGTGGATATCGTCCATGACACCAGGTCTGGGGATATAGCATGGCCCCAGGAGATATTGCCCCAATCATTCCCGTGCGGGTTCCATTGGAAGCATAAATGGTATAAGCCTGTTTTTGGGTCGTATCCCAATCCATTTGGGTCATTCATCCATCCTGCTGGTGCCATGACATGGAATGATGGTCTCCATTGTGAAGGATTACGAAGCGATTTCTCTTCATGAGATAGGTCATTAACTTCATGGGTTAATCCGTGCATTTCGCCAATAATCCACTCATCTAGCCGGGAATATGAGTTTTACGAGGTTGCTCAGATTCGCACACCTTAAAACATAGGAAATCTTGAACGAGTCCGGTCTTCAAGACGATTCGGGGGTTAATCGGGAATAGGTTCGGTGTAAGGAGGATTGTCGGCGAAATGCAATATATAGATCAATATAAATCAATGCAAATCAAAACAAGTCTATACAAAGCATCAGAGTATATAATGCGATAGTCAGACGGGTAACTGATCTGAATAAATGCAATGAAGATGCATTCCCTCGAGTCGCAATGGGAGATCTCGGAGAAACTTCCCCCAATAAATCCGGGGAGTTTAGGTTTTTGGGGAATCCGGGGAACTCCCTTTCTTCAACATACAACTTGAGCCTTATGGAAGTGTGTCTTCCAGGGTATTGGCTCACACAATCTGCATGTCTTTCAAGTGTGGCTCGACTGAGACTCAAGTCGACTACTCGAACTCGGGCGCGCGGAAGTCACACGCGATCAATGTCCAGTTAATTTTCGCCTGTACAGTGTTTGGTGCCGCATCATTCTTGTACGGATTCGATGACAAGATTATATCCCCTGTTGCTGCATTGCCGGATTTTGTAAGTGCTCGTTCTTTTCATAACACAAAATGTTCCAAGCTGATTCGGAGCAGGTCGAGAAATTCCAAGGACCTAACCCAGTCACTGGGCAGTATGTCCTCACGGCTCGCAATCAAAATCTAGTTTTCTCCCTTCCATTGGTGGCGTCCGTGATCGGAGGTCTGCTTGCTTCGCCACTGAATTTCCACCTTGGTCGCAAATGGCCTTTGATTATTGCGTATTTCATATCTATCGGTGGCGGATTGCTGCAAGTCTTTGCGCCAAATTTGGGGTCCTTTGTGGGAGGTCGTTCTATCAATTCGGTTGCTTTGGGTATCATAAATGCAACTGCCCCTTTGTATATCTCCGAGGTATTGATCCCTACCGCTTGTTCAATGTTCAATCTCGCTCATTCTTACAATTAGGTGGTTCCCGCCTCTATACGTGGAAGATGCGTCAGTTCAATGAATATTTTGAATCTAACCGCTGGCGTGGTAGGCACTGTGGTGGTCTTCAGAACTGAAAAGATTGAAGGGAACCTATCGTACCAGATCCCAATGGCTGTACAATGTGCTCTGCCTGTGCTTCTTCTGTTCCTAACGGTGCCCCTTCCAGAAAGCCCGCAATGGCTGGTCGGGAAGGGAAATATAGAAAACGCTCGACGCAACCTGCGGAAACTGCGTGGGTCCAGTGACGACCAGGTTGAAAATGAACTCCGTCTCATGATGCTGTCTGAAGAAAATGAGCGCGAGATACACGCCCAGACCAAGTTCTGGCACATATTCCAACGAGAGCACCTCAAGCGTACCCTCACTGCGGGCTCATTTTTCTCTCTTAACCAAATATCAGGCGTCATTCTTTCAACAACATATACAACCGTCTTCCTCGCAGTACTAGGGGTTGCAGACGTCTTCGCCCTGACAATCATCTCATCCTGCTGCACATTAGCCGGCACTATGGCCGCACCCTTCGTCATCGACCGTGCCGGTCGACGTCCCACGGCATTCGTCGGAATGGGGATTCTGTTCGTAATCGACGCCGTGGCTGGTGGCTTAGCCTTTGACAATGGCAACAAGAAAGCCACTATGGCCATTGCCGCTTTGTCCTTCGTATTCAACTTCTTCTGGGCCTCTTCCTTCTTCTCGCTGTCAATCCTCATGCCCTCCGAGATGGCAACTCCCAAACTCCGCCACCACACCATGGCCTACACGATCGCCTGTGCACAAACAACCGCCGTTATCACCACCCTCGTTGTTCCGCAGCTGACTTCGGCGGATGCAGCTAATCTTGGCGCGAAGACTTATCTCGTCTTCGCTGCCTGCATGGCTGTTATCATTGTCTTTTTCTACTTTTTCATGCCGGAGACGCGTGGTCGGACTTTTGCTGAGATTGATGAGATGTACGCGGCTAAGATCCCTATGTGGAAGTGGAGGTCGTATGAGACTTCATTGGAGTTGAGGGCCCGTGAAAAGGATTTGTGACAGAGCCTCGATTAGTTTATTTTTCTAATTGAAGTCTGTAAAATATACTCGAGTAAATACTCTATGCTTTTCGCATTGTACCGATCATGGATATATAAACTTGGGTATAGTTGAACTCGCTATATTGGTACACTGTAAAATCTAGTGAAACCCGATTTTTCCATGACATGAGCCAAGGTATTAAAAAAGTAAATTGTACAAATCGAAGACCCATTCGTGCAAGGAATTGGAAAATGACGCAGGCCAAGTAAAAAAAAACCTCCCTAAGAGCCTCATCATTGCGCCCACTCTGCAGCTTTGGGTTCCATGATCTGTAGCGAGCGTAGGTGAGCTCTATACTTCTCCAGGTAAGGATGGTTTCCACCGCGGAAGCTGGTCATAAGTAACAAAAAGTCTTCTGCGAGACTCTGGGCTGTGGAAGTTGTAGTTGTCGGTATTATTTCGGGGAAATTGACGGGCATGTTTAGGCCAATCCCGTAAGAGGGATTTGTGTTGCATAGGATGTTTGTGGCGCAGATTGCGATATCGTACAGCTTTTCGGTCTAGATGTTGAGTTGTTAGTAAGGGATAAAGGTCAGAGATTACAGCAAGTTACATACCAAACCGATACCATGGGCTTCCATGGAGCTCAGCCGTAATGACTGGCACAGCCGGAGAGTGGATTCAGCAACGGAGACGGCATATCCGAAGCTTAGCTCGGGTTGTTCCGAATGGGCACTCAGAAGGCCGTGGGTTGAGGAGAGGAGCCAGACACGGTTCTGGAGCCATTTCTGGGTGATAAAAACGTCCGCTGCTTGGGTCTCTCGTAGGCCCATGGCAAATGTGACATTTCTGCTTTCGCGGCCTTCCTTGGCTCGCTCGAACCAGTCATAGCCGCGATATCGTTCGGCTTGGTTGACTCGATTGAGATTTTGGTGGATGGAGAGTGCCTTGACTGCGGTGAGTCTCTGGCAGTACCCGTTGCTACCATCACATCGGCGGTTCCAGCAGTCGATGACATCTTCGTCGATGGCATCGAATAGTTCCATCATTCGTGCGAGACCCATCATTCCCTCGGCATCCTTCTCGTTGTGGACCACAATTCCAGAGACGACGCTATGCGTGGCGCTGTGGATGAAGTCATGCACTGACCGCATAGTGAATCCGGGCTTCCCCCAGAAGGTTATTGGATGTCGCCGTTGCAAAGCATAGGCTCTGAAGTTTATGGTTAGCGAGTTGATTTTGAGGAGGGCTAGTAATTCTAATTACCTTTCCGTAATAGAGAGGACGAGGTACGTTCGCAGCCGCTGGCCCTTCTCTTCCCCAGACAGATCCTGATATGACTCGGGATCATTCAATCCCAGCGTGGCCGCAAGATCTAGTGCCTCCCGTATCCGGAGCCACGCTGCGTTGTGCTGGTTACTTCCAAACAAACAGCCAAAGAGGAAGAAACTCGTTAGAACAGCTTCAATAGTTGGATTCTCGCCAAAATCTGAACAGCTTCGCATTTTGGTCGCTGCGTTCATCATGGCTCGTGCCTGCAGAGCTCGAGATGAGGACGTCGGCCGCTCGTTGATCTCAATTGGCTGTGTGAGCGAGAATGCACATAACGACAAGAGCATGGCCCCGAACTGAGAATTCTTGCGATGTTCTTGTGTGATCATTGAGGTGTACAGAGATGACCGGTTGAGCACGGGTATGGTCGGATGTAGCCGATCAAAGTAGACATCAATCCAGGGGATTATATTTGCTTCATTGATTGTGGATGGCCAAATTGCATCGGTCTCCTGGGTATCTGAGCGCATAGACCTCACGGTTGGTGAGAATGCCATATTTGGACCTTCCTGGGGTATTCCCATGGCCGCAGCCGCAGCATCGGGGACAGGTTGAATGATAGACGGGAGAGATGGCCGGAGATATACATTACTTCCTGGTAAATCGAAGATAGGGACTTGCGCATCCAGATTATCCGGAAGCCAGTACTCGACGTCATTTCGATCGTTCCAGCTCAGGCCGCTGTTGTGAGAATCTATAGATGGGGTTTCCTCACCCCAGGCTGCCATCGGAGGAGGTATACCTGTAGGTGCCAATCCGGCGCCCTCTAAGGGCATCGTGGCTGGACCATGAGTGGGGGCCCCCCAAGGTGCTCTAGGTAAAGCTTGACCAGACTCCACCGATGAGGATGGAGCTTGAAATTGGAAGCCATTCTTAGACTCTTGAGTAGGAATGACAGTTTGCTGCTGTCGAATTTGCGACACGCGACTTTGTCCCTGTCAGTGAGATTATTTATAGTCACGGGCCATTACTCACTGCCCGGTTGGTCCGCGCTTCTTCTGTGGTTGAAGGAATGTACAATCGAAGCCCATAGACTCACAGGCCTTGCAGGGCTGTGACAAGCTACACTGGGGTGGTCAGTTAGTACATTGACTGTTCATTTAATATATAGGGGGCGGTGGATATCCTACCTTGATCTTGCGAAATTTGCATTGGTCACATGCCCTCTTGGCAATAGGCGATTTATGAGATCGAATGGGGCCAGTGGCAGAGCCTGGCGATCTAATTTCCATAATATAAAGATAAAGCTGAATACGAAGTAGCTGCAGAGCTATAGGCTCAGGTAGAGAGAGATTGTCGGACATAAAATCTAGTGAGGTCGAAGGGTCTGACCCACATTGGCCCCCTTCCCCTCTCCTGTTTCCTCTCTTTTCGCTCCTCAAACGACCTTCACGTCAAGAAGATCATGAAAAAACCCGCCAAATTAACTGGGGAACGGCAAATCCCGCTGAGATTGGACTGAAGAAAAAAACCAATCAACTAATATATGGCATTTGACCAGAATGTGCCACGTCTCCACTTGATAA